TGTGTTGGTGGAGGGTGAGGGGTTCTGACATGGGGCTAGCAGTGTGCCAGTACTGCCAGCTCTGCTGTACAGATCTGATGTTGAAATCACTGTTAGACTATGGCAGGCCATTTGAATAAAATCAACAACATCATTCTAGATATGTGAAACTGGTTTAGGATTAGACATATTAKTTACTGAGGATATCTCTAAATGTATTTTGACTCGTCAAAATTCCTATTTGAGATATCTCTAATTATATTGAATGCAGGCTCCAAATCAACATATCTTAAATGTAGATATCTCTAAGTTAGTTTTGACCAGTCAYTATTTGCTTTCAAGATATCTCACTTCTAGTTCTGACTAGTCATAATTCCAGTTAAAGATATCTTCACCTACRTCATCATTCAAGATATCTCAAGTGTATTTCTAAATATCACAAAAAAGATTGGACTAGTGCAAATGTAATTGCAAATATCGAACTGTAAATATGACAACTCAAAATATATTTTAAGATATCTCCAAATGAATTCAAGATATCCAGAACATTTTTTTTTTCATCTGGATGGCTTTTATTATTTTGACTAGTCAAAATGTCACAGATTTACATAGCATCTTGGACGAAACATCATTAGATATTTTAGCCACACTGAGCCACTAGCCTTACCTTAATTTGTTATTCAGTGGTCTGCAGTGTCAGGTCAGTCCAACTCAAATTCTGGTGTTTTTAACTATTTTTAGCTCTGCTGCTAAACATGAATGATGAAACACAAACAATTTATTGTCTGTCATTGCAGCTACAAAAAATCCTGTTTGGACAGCTCAGTGGCAACAGGGGGGGCTTACGCACAATTTCTTCAGTCGGAGATCTAAAACTGTAATTTCGACTAGTCATAATTATGTATGTGTGACCCTTCAAATGATGAATCTGGTGATGTCATTCAAGATATCTTGAATTACATTTTGACTAATCAAAATCCCTTTAATATATCTTGAATTGTTCTTCTGACTAGTCAGAATGTGCACGCAGACAACTTAAATTATCATTCAAGATAGGCAAAATGTAGAAATGTAAATGTAAAATCTAGATTTTTAGACATCTAGAATGTAATTGCAGATAGTCAGACAAAGATGATTTCACATTAAACTGGCTTGCCATAATTAGACAGTTACGTACATAYAGTATCAACATATGTTTCCGTTTTTAGTGGTTTTAGGTGGTTTTCAACCCACCTAGGCTCGTTTCACRTGGTTTTTGGTGGTTTTAAATGGTTTTAGGTCTGTGGTTGACGTTTGTCAGTAAGTCAAAGTAGGATCCTGTCAAAAGTGATACATAAGCTTATGTATCAGTACTAATTAAATAATTGATTAAATAATATCAAAYGAGAATACCGATACTGTTTTCAGCTCTGTACTATTACACGTGTTAACTTATCACAATATTCATGAAAGAAAATTGGTAAATTTATCAGAGTTAGTCATTAACTWTGTAAAATAACTTTGGGCAGGAAAGTTGTATTGATGTAGAAATCTCACAAGTGGGATTATTTCATCTTTGTCAAGAAAACTTCTAACTACTGTCCATCCATCATTCATCCATCCATCCATCCATCCATCCATCCATCCATCCATCCATCCATCCATCCATCCATCCATCCATCCA